AGCTTTGCGCAAAATTCAAAAACAAACAAACAAGAAATAAATAATTAAAAAATCTGATTTTTTTATACAAAACACTTGTAATGTTTACTAAAAGCATGTTATATTTCATGAAGGTCCACTATGGTGGTTTCAAGATTGGTCAAAATGACTAAACCCATACAGAGTAGGTTAAGCAACAATGACCAAAGTTTATTGTTTGTGATATTGCATACAAGACTTCTTTAGAGTATTTCAGGTTGACTTACTGTATCGACTACATGTATTAGTATAAATACTTGCTGATTTATAAAGACTGAAGTATTGGTTAAAAGTGCCAGCTGTTTGAATGAAGATCGTGTCATCATAAACGAAAATCTGAAAAACAACTTTACTGGTCTTTCTGATGAAATTCTCAGCATATAGACCAAATCTTCATGATTATGTTATTAATTTGTTTTTATTTGTTAGAAGAAGGAGGTGGAAAACAGACTGGAAAACCACCAAGACTTTCGAAAGGTCATCATGCATCAAATAATGCATATATGTTGGTGTATAGAGCTCGAGACCCTGAACAAAAAGGTAAGTAATTAGATTCTTTTGATGTAGTTATCAGGTATGTGAAAGTGAATTTCTAGTAGCAGTTACAATCGTATCTCAAGGATAAACTATATTGTCTAGAAATATCCATCATGTATGATGAAAATAAAGTGTTGCAAATTTCACAATTTTGTTTTTACTGAAATACATGCAAACAATGACCATTTTTTTTACTGATACCACTAAAAAATCTTATTTTGCTACTTATGAGCTTATGACAATGTTGAAACGTGACTTCTTTTTTTTTACGGAGTGTCTGCAACCTTAGTATAGGGTTTAATCTTCTCGTACATCTGCAGGAAGCTGTATTTGAAGAGGGTATGGGATCTAGTGACAAATTTGGTGGCTCGTTTTTTCTTGCTTGTTCAATTCAGTATTAAAGCATGAAATAGGATTAAGGATTAAGAGAGCTATTAAGGATTAAGAACGAGATTAAGGATAAGAGATTAGTCTTATTACTTAAAAGAGGATTAGCGATTATTAATTTCAATATCCTGTGTTAAAGTTAAAAATATTAAAGAGTATTTTATTAAAATCATTAGATTATTCTTACTTTAAGAGAAAATTACTCACACATATCGTACAATTTATACATAAGATGTGTAACAATTATTGATAATTATTATTATTATTTTTTTATTATTATAAGTGTGAAATGTATTAAAGGTTTGATGAACATTAGGTTACTTCATCTTCCAGAACTTCCTCCAGATAACTCCTGCGAATGGGATCTTCCCGAACATCTGCAGGAAGCCGTAGTTGAAGACAACAGTAGGTTTGAGGAATGGGTGATGGAGCTTGGCTTGATGAGGGTATGGGATCTGGTGACAAATTCGGTGGCTCGTTTTTCTTGCTTGTTCAATTCAGTATCAGTTCATTCCTTGGTTGTTATGTTATTTATTCACATATTGACTTGTTCTGTACATTAATATCTTTATTCAGTCGTTTGCTATCCACCACAAATGAAAGAAACTATACTTTCCAAAAGCCTTTCGGTTATTGGGTTTCTGTTCTGATCCTGCATGCTTTTGAATATATTCAGTTTTTGAGTTGCCAGTTTGTTAAAATCTGTCCGGTCATTGACTTTTTGTTTTTGTCAATTATCATTTCTATGTATGTTTACTTAGATGTTTCTGTGTCTAAAACAGTATCTGTTCAACTGTTGATATGTTTATGAAAACAAGCATCTAAATATATACATATATTTTAATGCATTTTTTTTATAAAAAAAATATACTTATAAGTTTGTTGCTAGTTTCTTCACCAGTTTTATGTGAGAATAAAGTATATGTTGGTTTTAATTCAGAAAAAATACCTAACACTGGTGTTGATTCTTCTATGAACAACATTTGCCCAAAGTTTAGAGGTGAACGATGTTTGAGTCTTTGTGTTGAGGTCTCCATGAGGTCCTTATGAAGAAGAGGATTGATCCACTCTTTTATTTGTCCTTAATCCTTTACATCAGTCTAGTTTTAAGCAGTACTTCTGGACTAGACCAAAGCAAGATAAATTAGAAACACGTTTCAGGGGCTTGTGTGGTTACTAAGTGCAGTGATTATTCACAAGTTATTGTTGTAAATTTCCTGGGAAGTTATGTCGTGTAAAAAAGTGGTTCCCTGAGAAAACCCAAATGTTTATGAAAATTTAAAAATAAACAGCTTTGAAGCTCATGATTAGTTGGTGTGTATGTGTGGTCTATTGCTTCATTGTACTGTTGAAACAATCAATTTGTGTAGTATGCAGTTTTAAATCTGTAAACGGTGTGCATTTAAGCCTACACATTTCTCAAGTGAAATGAAAAATTTCTATCAGTTTGAAAGAAAGAACATTTTATTTCCACTCTTAGTTTTTCTTTCACCTGTTTCTTTTTGGGTCAACTGTAATTAGAAATCTTGCATCTCTCATGGTTAATTTGTAGAATCCATTTTACACTATTACATTGTTAAGAGTACAGTATTCTGTTACCTGCAGGTAGTTTTAACTCAAAACCTGAACACCTACAGACCTTATAAAACCACAGTATGATAATACAATATGGTAACAGTACAATAGGACAAATGTAGAATCCCTTTTGCTATGTTACATTGTTAAAGATACAGTTTTCTGTTGCGTGAATGTAGTTTTAACTCAAAACCTGAACACCTACAGACCTGATAAAACCACAGTATGATAATACAATATGGTAACAGTACAATAGGACAAATGTAGAATCCCTTTTGCTATGTTACATTGTTTAAAGATACAGTTTTCTGTTGCGTGAATGTAGTTTTAACTCTAAACCTGAAACTCTGCAGACCTTGTAAAGCTGTAACATTACAATACAATAAGATAACAGTACAATGTAATAAGTAATTGGTTTAAACAATCTTTTTCCATTTAAGTTGCCTTTGTTGTTTACAGTTGTGCCACTCATCTTGCTTTACTTAGAATATTAGTTGGTGTTTTGGTGGCTTTATGTTGTACATTGTTATACTGAAGACATTTTTTGTTGTTAAGTGATTGTTTTTATGTACACACTTTTACAATTTTGTAGTTTGATGGACATGTTTGTGTTGTATATGTACTTTTATTCTTTTAGGAACAAAATGTCCAGTCAGGAAAAGCAAGACAAACGGAAATCCGAACATTGTATGATATATTACCAGCTACTGAAGGTAATGAAAAATGACTTAATTACAGAAAATATTTATTTAATTATTAATGTTTTGATTTCCACCTTTTGTAGGATAAAGTGCCTGTTATAATAAGATCACTCACAGTTTTGGTTTCTATCTTCTTTAGAGTAAAGTGCCTGTTATAATAAGATCACTCACAGTTTTGGTTTCTACCTTCTTTAGGGTAAAGTGCCTGTTATAATAATATCACTCACAGTTACGATTTCTATCTTCTTTAGAGTAAAGTGCCTGTTATAATAAGATCACTCACAGTTTTGATTTCTATCTTCTTTAGAGTAAATGCCCATTATAATAAGATTATAATAAGATCACTGACTTATCTTAAATAAGCTACATTTGTTTTTGTTATGATATTTTATTACAATGAGATTTATACTCCAGTATTCTGTAAGTTACATCAAACGTTAGATAAGCCAAAGCTTGTATTACAAAATGAGATAGAAAAACTTTTTAACTGCTGCTTCAGTTTAAGTCTGCCTCGGACATCATGAAAATAGGAATGTATGTTTTAAAATAGGGAATCCACATGAATGGATCAGTAGTGAGTGGTTAATGAAGTGGTTGAATGCCGATGTTGGTCAGGTGGAAGCAATTGACAACTCTAGTGTTCTGTGTCTTCACAACAAGTAAGAATTTTAAGAGAAAATCTGTATAAAGTTAGATGATATGAGTATGAGCAGAGAGTTTTCTTGGTAATTCTTTAAATAGATCTAAGAAGAAGTAACTTTCTTTTTTTTTCCTTATAATAAATATAGAATTTTAACCCAATGTATATAATTGCAAAAATTAATTCACTAAACGTACATTGGTTTTTACCTGTTGCGTTATATATGACAAAATATTTTGTATTAAAACTCAAACTCTTTGTTGGATTTAGCCAGTTTTTGAACTAAGAAAATTCTTTCCCAAAATTAAAAAAAAAATTATATATATAATCAATGTAATCTCTTTAGTTCACAGAAGGAGTTCAATAAACATTTGATGAAGTAGATAATGGCTATAATGTTCTACGGTTTATTTTCCTACAGACTACATCCAGATAAAGTTACTAATGTCAAGTGTATCAATCAACAGGCTGTAAGTATTTATGTTCACCTTTGATGCAGGTTGTGTGAATGACTTTCAATTAATGTTATATCATTAACTATTATATTTTGATTAGGTATGTTGATAAGTTACAGTGAAGAAGGATTATTTGGAAATAAGTAAAAGTATTTGTTAGTCTGTAAAAGTGACAGAGGGAATCAAACGTAACTATGTTTCGTTATCGGTGTGGTCTTGTGACAAATGGTCATTCAAATATTTACCTGCGTATTGTGACCCTGTTCATATTTTACATCAAGGTTACCAACCTTACAGTTTTGTTTTTACTGACAATCAGTGGCCCTTCTTTACCGACATCATAAAAAGAAAACATTTTTTGCTATTTACGGGTTTATGAATAGTGTTAGAATCTGGTTATTTTTTTATCACTGGCTGTCCCGAAATGAATGAACAGTCGACAACTAAAACTGGGTGACTACCTCTGAGCATTGATTAAGTTGACTAGTGTCCATTCAGAATAATTATTAATTAATATCACAATTAAACTAATTAATGTCATGAAAATAATTAAATAGAATTTCTGAATATTACTGTTTTTGATTATTCCAGTAATGCAAATATCGCTATTATGATTAAGTTTCTTGAGCTTAATCAATTAGTGTCACAACTCATGAAAATAATCAAGTATTTGAAATAAGGTTTCTGATTATAATTTTTTTCGGTTATTTCAGATATTGAAGTAATTGAAATAATGTTTTTTCCTTGTGAAACACAATGGGCTATCGGTACTCTGCCCACCATAGTATTAAAACGTAATGTTTAGCACCATAAGTTGGGTTTTATCTTTTGTTTTTGTAGTGTTAAACAGACAATAAGAAGATACAATATATCTGTTTATTTATATTTCAATTCCAGTCTATTTAGATAAGCATGTGACTGTCATACGGATCATACTTTAGAAAAACAAGCTGTAAAAGCTGGCGGGTGGTTTCAGTTTTGTTTTTCTTTCTAGGCAGATCAGTTGTTTGAGAAATATGGTGGCGGACCACGATTAAGGTAAAGTTAGAGTTTAACCTATTAAAGAGTAAAACGTTTAAATGTATTTTGCTTTATAGGTAAAGTAAGTTAGATGGGCTGAAAATTTGTAACTGTAAAACATGGCAAAATTAATGTTTTTAATTATCTATTGCAGTATATTAAAAGATAAAACAGATATGTGTTAATGAAGCTGTAAAAAACTGAAATTATGTTTATTAGACCCTTTGTATTAGTTAAGAGATTTGAAAAACTGAAGTGAGAAAATGACAAAACTTTAATATTCATTCATTGGTTTGGTAGCATGTCTCTTTTTTTTTTCTAGGATGTTTTTTTAAGATAAAAGTAAAGCGAAATGACCCATGACATTAGAATTATATCTTGTTCAATTATATTTTACTTGTGGGTCATTAGATCTTTAAGTAATAAAAATAAACAACATGTATAACTCAGTGCCAATGCTGGGAATAATACTGCTTTTGTAAATCAGGCTAAGAATCAAAAACTCTTGGGTCACTTAAGTTTTTTGAACTACATATTATGAAAGTGACAGTTGGTTTTGCTGTTTGGTTCAAAGAGGGATGGACAACAAATCCCTTGTGGAAGTGGATTCTGCTGGTTGGTTTCCTTCCATCTGGTGATGACTATACCCAAATCCTTGGTGTTTCTGACCTGTCTGTTTAATCCACAAAGTATTGTTGATGTCCAAAATTCCATTTTATTCTGTTGAAATGTGATGTAGATAGCTTTCAGGTTTAAAAATATTGTTGCCTCAAGGCTTCACACGTACTAGTTGATGTGAAAGTAGGCTTCACACATACTGGTTAATGTGAAAGTAGGCTTCACACATACTGGTTAATGTGAAAGTAGGCTTCACACATACTGGTTAATGTAAAAGTAGGCTTCACACATACTGGTTAATGTAAAAGTAGGCTTCACACATACTGGTTAATGTGAAAGTAGGCTTCACACGTACTGGTTAATGTGAAAGTAGGCTTCACATATACTGGTTAATGTGAAAGTAGGCTTCACACGTACTGGTTAATGTGAAAGTAGGCTTCACACGTACTAGTTAATGTGAAAGTTGTTTTTCGAGACTGTAAACATCCATTTACCAATTCATTATTTCTGTCAGTGTAGTTAAAATGCATTAATTGCTAATGACACTACCTTAAACCAAAACAGGTTGTGCAAATGCTAATCCAGCTTGCTAAGCATTTATATTCCTTTTGTTAACAAAATGAGGTTGTAACAGTGGTAAGTACCACAAGATGGTGTGACATTCATTGCATTGTTGTAACAGTGGTAAGTGACACATGGTTGATGTGACATTCATGGTATTGTTGTAACAATGGTATGTGCCATGTGGTTGGTGTGACATTCATGGTTTTGTTATAACAGTGTTAAGTACCATGTGGTTGATGTGACATTCATGGTATTCTTGTAACAGTGGTAAGTGCCACATGGTTGGTGTAATGTTTCTGGTATTGTTGTGACAATGGTTTGTGCCATGTGGTTGATGTGACATTCATTATATTCTTGTAACAGTGTTAAGTACCACATGGTTGATGTGACATTCATGGTTTTGTTATAACAGTGTTAAGTACCATGTGGTTGATGTGACATTCATGGTATTCTTGTAACAGTGTTAAGTACCACGTGGTTGATGTGACTATCATGGTATTCTTGTAACAGTGGTAAGTACCACATGGTTGATCTGACAAAATTCGTGGTATTGTTATAATAGTGGTATGTGCCATGTGGTTGCTGTGACTGGTATGACATTCATGGTATTGTTTGAACAATGGTATGTGCCACATGGTTGATGTGATGTTCATGATATTTTGTAACAGTGGTAAGTACCACATGGTTGATGTGACATTCATGGTATTGTTGTAACAGTGATAAGTGCCACTGCTGTAACAGTATTAAAATATCAAATTATTGATATAACATTCGTGCCATTACTGTAAGAGTAATACATGTCATATGATTAATGTGTTATTTCAATAATTATGAAATTTCAAATAATCTTGATTGAAATGCCCGAATTTTGGATAATGTAGAAGAAAACTTTGTTCAGATATGTTACTATATGTAATTACTATCCACGCTATGACGTTATTTACAAGAAAGAATGATATTTTCTGTAGAGACGCTCTGTGTACCAAGTGCGTTGAGAGCCGTTGTCACTTGATAAGGATTAGAGCCAGGGTTCAGGAAGACAGCAAAACTATAACTTCAATGTTTAAAATCAAGGTATCTAGGTAGGAAAGAGTCTAGCATCTGTCTTAAGTAGATAAAAATGTACACATATGAAGGGATATCTCAGATTAGCAATAAAAGGATATAAATATTTCATTGGAAAGATATCGCAAACATATTCATAAGTTATTGTTTGTTGATTTTATCTTAGTAACTGATAGATGATAAATATCTAGTGAGCATATTGTCAGATGTTTATTGAGTTTTTTTATGATATTTTTTCCATATTTCTCTCGAGTGATTACTGGTGAGTTCTTGTTTTGTTAGAGATTATTAGGATGATCTGTTTTCTTGTAAGAAGTTTCCAATAAATTTATTCTTCTCATGAGTATTATTTATTTAAGTTTCTTTTTATTGATAGAAATGTTTAGTGAGTTTGTTTTTTTTCTTATACAAGTTTTTAGTAATTTTTTGAAGTGATTTCTAGTGGTTTCACAACATTAATGAGATTTTTTTTTCTCATGACAGATTTTCTAGTGTGTCAGAAATTTTTATTAAGATTCCTATTTTTCTCATGACAAGTTCTAGTGAATTGGTATTCTTTTCACAGGCTTAGTGATGATGATATGAATATTTCATTGAGTTTGTTTCTTTTCTTTGGAGAACTAGAAAAACATTCAAACTTTTATTTTAACAGTGATGAAGATGCCTTCTGGGTAGGAAAAGACTCGATAAAAGATTGGAAAAAAATGGTGTTATCTCAGTACAAAAATTGTGATTCCACATCTGCCTCATCCAATTATGAAGAACATAATGATAATTATGACCACATGAGCTCTTCTGGAGAAAAGTCACATTCAGGTATTGGTTTTCTTTTTCGAATTAAATAATGCATGTATTTTGTGACCATGTTTTACTTGATGTTACTTCTAAAATACGAATTTTCAATTTTTAAGTTATTTCTTAACCCCTTCTAGACCAGAGGGGCTTCACTGATACCTTAAATAAACTATAAAAATTGCCCAGATCACTGGTTTGTTCCTAAACCTTAACTTCCCATTATGTTCCTTTGTTCACCCAAACAGCAGCCCAAGTATTTGGTATTTTGAAAATACTGCTCATCCCAATTTATTAGCTCTTCACTGACATAAGTAGTGAGAAATCTACTCATATTTAATATAGCTGTTTTCAGTGCTGAGTTTCATTAGTTACTATTCACACTTTGTGTTGTGACGTTATAAAGAGTCAAGCATGGTCCAGTTTTAATATAGCTATTTTCAGTGCTGAGTTTCATTAGTGACTGTTCACACTTTGTGTTGTGACGTTATAAAGAGTCAAGCATGGTCCAGTTTAATATAGCTGTTTCAGTGCTGTAGTTTCATTAGTGACTGTTCACTACTTTGTGTTGTGTACGTTATAAAGAGTCAAGCATGGTCC